AGAACTTGCAGGTACAACCCGGAACTGGAATAGCTTGCATGCTAAAGCCCCGGACCAACGTCGTGACGCTCAGATTTGCAATATGAAAGCATCTCAAACTGCTAAGTCTCGCCGGTGGATCATCGAATTCGGGCGCTGCCTGGGCAGATTCTTGGTTTGGCTGAGGGTTCAAAACTTTGGAGTTTGGGGTCTCAGGCTTTGAGATGTTTGGAGGCTTGAGGGTTTGGGTTTGGCTAGGGGTGATTCTCCTTCTTGTCTTTCTGGCAGGTTCGACAGTGGCAACCGCAACGACGAGAGTCATGGGTCTTGGCATGCTTGGTTTGCGGTTGCAGAACCATGTTGGGGCGATTTTTCGCATTAGGGCTACCAGCTCTTGACCCACCCTAAACCCTAAACCCTTGAACCCTTAACCCCTAAACCCTTAAGATCTACACCCTATGGTGCAGTCGCGGCGGGATGCTGGTACTAGAACATACGTACGGTCTTCATTTTTTGAACGCCCCTTTCTCAGTCGCCACATACGTATGGTCTTGGGTCTAAGGTGGCTTAAGGGTGGCTTAGGGTTTAGAAGCCGGGGCCTTTTTACCGTCACTTATCACCTCTTCCAGACCGATGATTCAAGCGGAGAGCTTATCTACTGCTGCGAAGTCCAGGAGCTACCCATAGGCTCCATTATAGCTCCGTTTTGTGGTTCATATTTAGGATCCTATAAGGTGCATAACCCCAAAGAGGAACTACTATGGAGGCTGTGGGTATTGCCAAACGTTGGAACCTGAACTGCAGCTGGGCATCTGCCGACACCCTAAATGGTGGAATACTGAATATGTGATAGGCTTCAGATCGGGTACCTACTGTAAGGATCCCCAAGAAGGAACCCCAAACTCCAAACCCCTGCTGAAACCTTGAATCCTGCGCCTCAGACCCGAGAGATTGAAAACCCCGAAGCCCTCGCAAGCCGCCTGCGGCACGCTTGTGGACGACTCATCCAGGAGGGGCTCGGATTCATTTTGCTCTGTAGCAGCAGCAACCGCAGCTTCGTACCTTTTCTGGAGTCGTGTGAAGGAATTTCGTACCTTCCTCTGGGCTCTTGTTGAGGGCGCTATTTTCAGTGACCGCTATTGTTACGTACAGTAAGAGCAAAAGAACTGCGACGATGGTTTGCCCCCTGGTACAATTGCTTTCTTGGAGGTTCATGGGTAGTAATAAATGGGCTTAAAAGCCACCCTAATATGGGTTATAAGTATAGTCACCCTACTTATAACCCTACTTATAACTACCCATGAACCTCCAAGTATGGTCGATCCCAATTCCAAAGCAGCTCTGGCCCTGCTTGGAACTACCCATGAACTCGTGTTGCCGTTCTCTCCGATCAGCCTTGCTCTGTGGGAACCTGCGCCCTGCAATCTCCGAGCCCTTATCGGGTGCTTGACCCTAAACCGTCTTCTTGCTTCCTTGTGCTGTTTGCTTCAAGCCGCAAATTCCGAAAGTCTGCCTCTGGAGAGATGACAAACGCAGCCCGACTTGTGAAGACAACGTTTTATTTGTTGCCAGGCCGGGTACCCTATGCCAAACACACTGCCCCTTCCGGAACCCTGACTCCCAAGCGCACCAAACCGCACTTTAATAAGGAAAGACATAAAGCAGGGAAGCAAACTGAGGAACCTCAAAACCTAAACCGCTAAACCCCCGCAACCACGAACTTGAGCTTACCTGAACCACTGAATCCCCAAGCTTGCTGTTTAGGACTCCTTACTGTGATTTCCTTCTGTTCAGGTAGCCCTACATGTCCAGAACGACTCGCTGAGCTCTACCTGCACATCCAAGAACCTAACATCTAAGGCAAGGGTTACGGTTTAGGGATGTTGTGGGTTTAGGCTTCAACATGTGCTATTATGAGTCCTGTGGGGTAGGCTTTGCCAGAGAGCTCAGCACCCTCAATCTAGCAGTTTACCTTGAACCACAACAAGAAGAATTGAGTTAAGTTATATTCCTTTACCAGGAGCCTTCATCTACTTGCGGAAAAAGGCCTGGGGACCGCCAATACTAGGCAGCTCAGTGCAAAGATTTCAACTTCCAGAATGTCGAATTTCACCCCCCCAGGCCTAACCTAAGACTCACAAGCACGAAAGTGCAAAACCCGAAGAATCTGAAACTCTCGAGGACTCTTACGGTGCCGTTGAAGTGGGGGAAAAGACCGTACACCCCGAACCTGAATGCTTAAAGCCACGAGCTACAGAGACAACCAAACCCAAAGCTCTAAGACCATAACATACCTCAAACCCTTCTCATGAACTCCTATAGAAACCTTTTAACCTTTGGCCTGACCCGAATCCAACAACAACCATAAAACCAGAACGAAGCCCCAATGTCGTCAGGCTGCTGTGCACGGATGTAGCGTTGGAGGCCGGCAGCCTCCACATGCTTGGAGTCTTTTTGTCCTTTCTAGTGTGTGTGCTTTTGCTGTTTTTTGTTTGTATCTTTTCCTTTTTGTAACGATTTCATATCGTTTCCTGGTAGCTTTTTCAAAACTTTTGGCCTAGAGTTTAGGGCCTTTAGGGTTTGGGGCTCGAGGGTTTAAGGAGCGAAGCCTCAGGATTCTACGGTATTGCTGCGTCTTAGGCAGTTTCTGGTCGAGTTTAAAGTTTGGGGGTTTCGGGATCTAGGGTTTAATTAGGCGTTTAGGGGTTTTGGTTTTAGGGTTTAAGAGGTAAGGATATAAGAATCTCGGGGGTCGGGTTTAGGCGTTCAGTGCCCGGTGTGCCTTGAAAGGGTAGAACAGCGCCACTGCAGCACTCGCAATGGCACCTTCCCAGGCTCAGTTCTAGATGGGCCTCCCGGGTGTTCGGGGCCCCCAAAAGCATCCTACCACTTGGCCTACCCGTCGGGTATCATGGGGAACTAAAGGTTAACCTTTTGGTTATATAAAGAATATATAGGGAGTATACTGCCCAAAAAAGGTTAGAGTTAGAGGCTACCTACTCTACTACTAGGTTGGTGTGTAGGGCTTTTGGATCCAGAAGCATTTAGGCTTCAGATTAGGGGTTTATTCTGCCTTCGAACTTACATTCTCCTGCCTCGGCCTTGAGTACCTGGCGCTCACGAGTGGCTATTTCGGCTAGCAGTTGTTGTTCGAGCTTCCAGTTCAGGCTGCTGCAGCCCTGTCTCAGCTACGCCTTGATTCCTGAACCTCCGACACCCTAAAGCCTAAACCCCACTTGCTAAACCCTAATTGCTCAACCCTTTTCAGCACGGACTGAGGTGCCGGCCAGCGCCATTCCCCCTAAACCCTAAACCCTAATTGCTAAACCGCAAACCCTAATTGCTAAACCGAAAACCCTACACCCTAATTGCAAAACCCTAAACCCTGAACTCTAAGGCCCTAAGATGGCACCTGGGATGATCACGACCAGCAGGCTCCGCTTGCTCAGCCACGACTGCATTCAGCCGCATGGAAGCGCAGGCCATGGCCAATTGCTGCGGAAGCTTTGGGTAGAACGAGGTTGTGGGGGTGCCGGGTGCAGCTATGATGTGCAACCATATGCTGCATGTTGCAAACACAGAAAGGGAACAACAAGGATGTCTGCGTCGGCTCAGCACGGCCACCATCACTGAACATACGGCGGTGGCTGCTGCTACTACTACTACTACTATTACTGCTACTGCTACTACTACGACTACGACGACGACTACTACTACTACTACTACTTCTACTACTTCTTCTACTACTACTACTGCTACTGCTACTGCTACTGCTACTACTGCTACTGCTACTGCTACTGCTACTGCTACAACAACAACAACAACTACTACTACTACTACTACTACTACTACTACTACTACTACTACTACTACTACTACTACTACTACTACTACTACTACTACTACTACTACTACTACTCGACGACAAGCTACCACTACTACCGCTACCATGACCACCAGTCTCAATTCATAAATATGCCTTCGTTGCCAAGCTTAAAGCCGAAAGCACAGATCCCAAACCTTTTTCCTGTACTGTCAGCATGCCCCATACAACAACTACAATCTGCAATAAAGGATGATAAACCATGGAATGCAGACAGCTTGCTGAACACCCAAACCCTAAACCTTAAAATACTCCCAAACCCTAAACCCATATACCCGAAACCGTCTCGTCTTTCTACAGTGAAGAGATCTCGGCCACGGGTTCAACATTTCGAGGCGAATTCAGGTCACAATCGATCTCTGCTGGCTTCACTGAGCCAAAGCAAGAGCCTGTTCTTTAGGATAGCACAGGGGCCCTAGTAATAAGAATAACCAAAATACTATGCGTAATAATATAATTAAGTTAAGAATAGTAGCCGAAATAATAGATTGTCATGATACTAGTCAAAAACAATGATTATTGAAGGGGTTGCTGCCGGTTCCTTTACAGGCTTTCGTCAGGTTCCTTATGAAGTCGTGGCTGGCATGGCCGTGCTCCGGAAAAAGCGGCTGTGATTCTCAATGCTTGTTTACCTTGTGATTTGAGTCCTTGTGGCGCTGCTTCCGTTCTCGGCCTTAAACCCTGTCCGCTTGCGGGCCTCTTCGTGCGAGATTGTATAACTCGGGCAGCGAACCCTAAGCCTAAACCTTTACGTGTTTCGGCTTGAAGACTTCTCGATTTGGGCAAACCCACTTCAGAATCCCCGGGCCCGAGATCCTAGATCTCAAAACCAACACGCAAACTAAAGCAGCCACAATCTGTCTTTCGAACTGTTGGTAGGTACCAAGCAATACTAGGAATCATGCTGCTAACTACTGGGGTTCCGAAACTCAAGCCTAACCCTTAGAATTAGGGTTTAAGGCTTCAAAACTTCAAACCCTGAACCACACCCCAGACCCTGCGGTACCGGGATCTTAAACCTGCTTTCGGGTAGTTCTCTAAATTAGGGCCCCAAACCTCAAAGGGACCCTAATTTAGGGAACTACTCTTTTGCAGCGGGTCTGTTGTAAACCCCAAACCTGGAAATCAGACCCGGCACTTGAGTTTCCAAGACAGACTTGACGATGTGAAAGATGGCGCGAGGCACCTCCAACTGTAGGGTGTAGCCCCAAAAACACTGCTTGTTGAACATATGTTTCTACGAAGTTTAGGGCCGTAGGGTTTCGGCTTGGCTTGCATAAGGTAAGGGGTTCTCATGGTTCGGGTTTTGTGACTTGGAGTTTGGCGAGGTGTAGTGGGATTACTTCCGATGTGGGGTCCTGGAACTGCTGAATCAAGAGATTGAGCTAACCAGTGGTTTTGGGGTTCCCTTGGCTCTTTAGCTCCTTACTTAATACGCTCTCACAACTCGGACGAAGCCAGTCAGGGATTAGCATCATCTCTGGCTCCTTAGCTCCTCGAATTTCAACGGTTAGCTAGGATTAGCTAGGGCAAGGATGCTTCAAGGCTTCCTTTTTTATGGGCGCTTTTCCAACTGAAGGTGCAGTGAGACCGCCTTACCAGGAAGAGCCTCACGGACAAGGATTTAGGCCTTGCAACTGGGGAGTCCGGAGGCGGAGAGCTTTTGGGACCGGCTTCAAACAAAGTCTTCATCGTGAGGATCGGTAGCAGCAGGGGCGGCAATGTTAGGCTTATGGCATCTTAGGGTACTTATGTCGCAACCTTAAACACCTAAACTCGCCGAACCCCATACCCTAAACCGCGAAGCCCTAAAACCAAGACCCCTAAAGCAAAAACCCCTAAACCGCTAAACCCTGCGACCCCTAACCCCTGAACTCCAAATCCGACACCCTAACCCCTCTTCCCTGAACTGCAACGGCCTCTATCCGTCTCTTCGAGTTGACTGCATAAAAATCAGGGGCCTGAATAACTTCATCTGGGGTCTGGGCTTTGGGGTTCAGGGCTGTCGGGTTTATTCTAACAGGAGTTTCATAGGGACTATACGAGCTTCTTGCCTCCCACCCAGCTATGACGAGATTAGGGTTTAGGGCTAGTAGTTGTTTTGGATTTTAGGACTACAAGGAGAGCATGCTGTGCAATTGTCAGGACTTGACGCCGTCACATTCACTGTCTTGAAAGGCAGAAGTCCGGTAATAAAAAACTACCGAGCCACATGCGACAAATCCCAACACCCGTAGCATACGTCCTGTATCGAAATTGCGCACTCTACTACAGCACAGCCAGACACGAACACAACGCACACGTCGGGTGGCCACCTCCACCTGTTCCGGGCGAGAAGCAGGGTTCACCTTGCCAAGATAGGATGCAAAGGGCTCTCCCTCAGGGTACTGCGGCCTTATACCCCGTCTAAATGTAGGACCTAAATCTGTAAGAACCCTTGTAACTTATAGGGTAGCCCTGGAATCCGAATGTACACGAATTCTGGCCCCCTGAATCCGACGGTGCGACAACCCTATGCTGTGTTGGCAACATCCCTGCACCTCGGGGGTCCGAAAGTTTGTCTTAACCTGAGGCTTCCTGGAACTAAGGTGTGTGCATGTACTTCTGACAAAAATGCGTCCTTAAGCTGGACATCCAGGAGATGCCTTTCACTCCACCTTTGTGCCAGCCGATCTCGCATGAACTGTCAATCTGACCTCGTATCTCTTGGCAAAATCGGCGTCTGTCAAACGCACCGCAGACCCAAAGACAGAAAGCTTGTCGCATTCCTGGAGAACCTGGGACCGGTGAACCCAGCGCTCGCAACTTCGGCCCAGAATTGACGGATCGTGGATCAGCAAGTGCCGAACCTTCTCAGGCGAGAACCACTCCAAGAGCAAGCCCACCTTCGGCTTCATATTTCTCGCGAGGCTGTAGCCTAAGATATTGGGCCAACTAGAGATCACTTTGGCAATCTCGACTTTCTTCAGGCCTACATCTTGCAGCCACTGCTCCGTGGGCTTCAAGTTCTCTTCGATGCTAAGCCCCAACACCTGCGGATGTCGTGCAATCACTTTGGCAACCTCGGATTTCGTCAGGCCCATGTCTCGCAGCCACTGGACCGTGGGCTTCAAGTTCTCATCGATGCTGCATCCCAGCACTTGTGGAAATCGAGCAATCACTTTGGCAACCTCGGATTTCGTCAGGCCCAGATCTCGCAGCCACTGCACCGTGGGCTTCAAGTTCCCTTCGATGCTGTATCCCAAAACGTGCGGAAATCGAGCAACTACTTTGGCAACCTCAGCTTTCGTCAGTCCCAGATCTCGCAGCCACTGCACCGTGGGCTTCAAGTTCTGCTCGATGCTGAGCCACAAAACTGATGCAGACCTGACGATCACTTTGGCAACCTCGACCTTCTTCAGGCCTAAATCTCGCAGCCACTGCACCGTGGGCTTCAAGTTCTCTTCGATGCTAAGCCCCAACACCTGCGGATGTCGTGCAATCACTTTGGCAACCTCGGATTTCGTCAGGCCCATGTCTCGCAGCCACTGGACCGTGGGCTTCAAGTTCTCATCGATGCTGCATCCCAGCACTTGTGGAAATCGAGCAATCACTTTGGCAGCCTCGATTTTTGTCAGGCCCATGTCTCGCAGCCACTGCACCGTGGGCTTCAAGTTCCCTTCGATGCTGCATCCCAACAGTTGCGGACGTCGTGCAATCACTTTGGCAGCCTCGATGTTTGTCAGGCCCATGTCTCGCAGCCACTGGACCGTGGGCTTCAAGTTCTCTTCGATGCTAAGCCCCAACACCTGCGGATGTCGTGCAATCACTTTGGCAACCTCGGATTTCGTCAGGCCAGAATCTCGTAACCACTGGACCGTGGGCTTCAAGTTCCCTTCGATGCTGTATCCCAGCACTTGCGGAAATCGGGCAATCACTTTGGCAGCCTCGACGTTCTCGTAACCAGGACCGTGGGCTTCAAGTTCCCTTCGATGCTCCCAGCACTTGCGGAAATCGGGCAATCACTTTGGCAGCCTCGTCGGGCCCTCTCGCAGCCACTGCACCGTGGGCTTCAAGTTCCCTTCGATGCTGTATCCCAAAACGTGCGGAAATCGAGCAACTACTTTGGCAACCTCAGCTTTCGTCAGTCCCAGATCTCGCAGCCACTGCACCGTGGGCTTCAAGTTCTGCTCGATGCTGAGCCACAAAACTGATGCAGACCTGACGATCACTTTGGCAACCTCGACCTTCTTCAGGCCTAAATCTCGCAGCCACTGCACCGTGGGCTTCAAGTTCTCTTCGATGCTAAGCCCCAACACCTGCGGATGTCGTGCAATCACTTTGGCAACCTCGGATTTCGTCAGGCCCATGTCTCGCAGCCACTGGACCGTGGGCTTCAAGTTCTCATCGATGCTGCATCCCAGCACTTGTGGAAATCGAGCAATCACTTTGGCAGCCTCGATTTTTGTCAGGCCCATGTCTCGCAGCCACTGCACCGTGGGCTTCAAGTTCCCTTCGATGCTGCATCCCAACAGTTGCGGACGTCGTGCAATCACTTTGGCAGCCTCGATGTTTGTCAGGCCCATGTCTCGCAGCCACTGGACCGTGGGCTTCAAGTTCTCTTCGATGCTAAGCCCCAACACCTGCGGATGTCGTGCAATCACTTTGGCAACCTCGGATTTCGTCAGGCCAGAATCTCGTAACCACTGGACCGTGGGCTTCAAGTTCCCTTCGATGCTGTATCCCAACACTTGTGGAAATCGAGCAATCACTTTGGCAGCCTCGACTTTCTTCAGGCCTAAATCTCGCAGCCACTGGACCGTGGGCTTCAAGTTCCCTTCGATGCTGCATCCCAACACACGCGGAAATCGTGCAAGGACTTTCGCAACTTGAGTCTTCTTAATGCCCCACGTTTCCAGCTGCTGCATTACGGGCTTCAGCTTGTCATCGATGTTGTAGCGTGCTAGACCAGGGGATTTTGCCACAAGTTCCTCTGACTCAGAAATGGGCACACAGAGCTGCATCTGCAGAAATTCATGCAGACGTGTTGGGTCGAAGTCACGCTGACGCTCCGCACCTACTTTCTCCGTAAACTCAACTGCTGCTTGGCGGGAGATCCCACGCGGATCCTCAACAAAGTTTTGCAGAATTGCTCGTCGATCAGGATGAACCGCTGTTCCCAATCGTTTCAACAAGGACTCAGCCACTTGAAGCAGTGCCTTCACCAATGATGGCCCTTGGCCAGGCTGCCACGAGTCCACAACAACTTCCCCCATCTCGCAAGAAAGCTTCAGTCCACGATCGGCATGTGCTATGCGTAACACGTAGGACCCGGCAGGTACCATATCCAGTAAGGCTCTGTTCTTCCGGCTGTCAGCTGCAATGCCCGTGGGCTTCTGGTGGCGGTAGTAACCGTCATACTCCACGAACAGAGCTGCTTCCTCTGACTGTAGAACGCCGTACAGCGCTAGGTCTGGGCTCAAAGTGTTGCTGCCCCATCTCTTACTTCGCACTGCAGGAAAATCCCGGAAGAGCTCTGCGATCGGCTCCTCCGGCAGCAAAAGCACCGCCAGGTGCGAAAGGAGCTCGGCTTCCGCCATGCTTCCCGGCCTCCGCCGCGGACGCCCGGCCTTCCACCAGCTCGGAGGCCTCCGCACCACACATGAACCAGAGGAGAGCAAGGCCAAAACGCCCCAGAGAAAACATCCCAAGACTCTCCGTGGCTTCCTGGTCTCGGGCTGCCTCATCCTGATGCTGGAGCCTCGAAGTGAACCTCCTACAGCACGTGCTTAGACTCAAACAGAAGTAAACAGCATCTCTGAAAGCTTCAACCAAAACAAGTAAAACATCGTGCCGATGCACACCTCACCGACCTCCTCTTGCCTACGCCAATATATTGCATGTGCTTTATGTCAACGAAGGCTGCGACTCAATCCATCACCTGCTCACCCTGCTACTACTTCTTATTCCTAAGCCCTTTAGCGGCCCTGTATATGAGGCTTCTATCATATGATGAATATTCGCACCCCCCCTAAACCCTACGCCCTACGCCCTCATCTTCTCTGTAGCAGGAGAAGCACTTGACGGTTCACGGGCAGTGCATCCCAGGCTTTGGGTTGAAAGACTTGGAGGGGTTTGAGGGTTTTAGGGTGTACGGGTTTTCATTTCGGCTTCTAGAATCTAGAAGTGTACGGCTTTAGGGGCGCTGAGGGTTTTGCGTCTGAAGCATTTCGGGTTGAAGTTGGTTGCGGATTCGACTCTGCTAGCCGAGGCCTGTTGAACTAGGTGATCTCTGATCTGCACTCTGAAACCTACGACCTAACCCAACACGGAAAAAAGTGCTGGTTGGCGAAGCCTAAACCTAAAGGCAGCAAACCGTTGCACCCGAACCAGACACGAAGACGACACACACCTCGGGCGGGCGGGCACCTCCAGCTGCTGCGGGCGAGAAGCAGGGCCCACCTTGCCAGGATACCATGCAAAGCAAAGCGCTTCTCCCTAAGGGTACTTCGGCCTTATCCATCCTTGAAAATGTAGGACTGTAGGAACTAATTAAGTAAGAACCCTTGTAAGTTGTAGGGTATCACATGGGATCCGAATGTGAACGAAAATTTCTGGCACCCTGAACTCCACGATTCGACAACCCTATGCTGTGTTGGCAACATCCCTGCACCTCGGGGGTCCGAAAGTTTGTCTTAGCAAGAGGCTTCCTGGAACTAAGGTGTGTGTCTGTGTATGCACTTCTGACAAAAATGCGTCCTTAAGCTGGACATCCAGGAACTGCCTTTCACACCACCTTTGTGCCAGCCGATCTCGCATGAACTGTCAATCTGACCTCGTATCTCTTGGCAAAACCGGTGTCTGTCAACAGCATCGCAGATCCAAAAACAGAACGCTTGCCGCATGCCTGGAGAACCTGGTACCGGTAAACCCAGCGCTCGCGACTTAGGCTCAAAATGGCCGGATTGTGGACGAGCGAGTGCCGAACCTTCTCAGGCGAGAACCACTCCAAGAGCAAGCGCACCTTCGGCTTCAAATTTCTCTCGAGGCTGTAGCCCAAAATATTGGGCCAACTAGAGATCACTTTGGCAACCTTTGCTTTCTTCAGTCCCAGATCTCGAAGCCACTCCACCGTGAGCTTCAAGTTCTCCTCAGTGCTGCATCCCAACACTTGTGGAAATCGAGCAATCACTTTGGCAGCCTCGACTTTCTTCAGGCCCACATCTCGCAGCCACTGCACCGTGGGCTTCAAGTTCCCTTCGATGCTGTATCCCAACACGTGCGGAAATCGAGCAATCACTTTGGCTGCCTCGACTTTCGTCAGCCCCACATCTCGCAGCCACTGCACCGTGGGCTTCAAGTTCCCTTCGATGCTGTATCCCAACACGTGCGGAAATCGAGCAATCACTTTGGCTGCCTCGACTTTCGTCAGCACCACATCTCGCAGCCACTGGACCGTGGGCCTCAAGTTCCCTTCGATGCTGAGCCACAAAACTGATGCACACCTGACGATCACTTTGGCAACCTCGGCTGTCGTCAGCCCCGCATCCCGCAGCCACTGCACCGTGGGCTTCAAGTTCTCCTCGATGCGGCATCCCAAAACTTGCGGATGTCGAGCAAGCACTTTCGCAACTTGAGCTTTCCGAAGGCCCCATGCTTCCAGCTGTTGCATGATGGGCTTGAGTTTGTGATTGATGTCGTAGCGTGCTAGACATGGGCATTTTCCTACAAGTTCCTCTGATTCGGAGTTGGACACACCGAGCTGCATCTGCAGAAATTCATGCAGACGTGTTGGGTCGAAGTCACGCTCACGCTCCACAGCTACTTTCTCCGTAAACTCAACTGCTGCTTGGTGGGAGATTCCACGAGGATCCTCAACGAAGTTTCGCAGAATTGCTCTTCGATCAGGATGAATTGCTGTTCCCAATCGTTTCAACAAGAACTCAGCCACTTGAAGCAGTGCCGTCACCAATGATGGGCCATGGCCAGGCTGCCACGAGTCCACAACAACTTCCCCCATCTCGCAAGAAAGCTTCAGTCCACGATCGGCATGGGCTATGCGCAACACGTAGGATCCGGCAGGTACCATATCCAGTAAGGCTCTGTTCTTCCGGCTGTCTGCTGCAATGCCCGTGGGCTTCTGGTGGCGGTAGTAGCCGTCATACTCCACGAACAGAGCCGCTTCCTCTGACTGTAGAGTGCCGTACAGCGCTAGGTCTGGGCTCAAAGTGTTGCTGCCCCATCTCTTACTTCGCACTGCAGGAAAATCCCGGAAGAGCTCTGCGATCGGCTCCTCCGGCAGCAAAAGCACCGCCAGGTGCGAAAGGAGCTCGGCTTCCGCCATGCTTCCCGGCCTCCGCCGCGGACGCCCGGCCTTCCACCAGCTCGGAGGCTTCCGCACCACACACGAACCATAGGAGAGCAAGGCCAAAAAGCCCCAGAGAAAACATCTCAAGGCTCTCCATGGCTTCCTGGTCTCGGACGGCCTCATCCTGATGCTGGAGCCTCAAAACGAACCTCCTACAATGCGTGCTGAGACTCAACCAAACTAAACAGCATCTCTGAAGGCTTCTACCAAAACACATAAACATCGCGCCGATGCACACCTCACCCACCTCCTCTTGCCTATGCCAACAAATTGCATCTGTATTATGTCAACTGCCAACGAAGGCTCCGACTCGATCCACCACCTGCTCACCCTGCTACTACTTCTTATTCCTAAGCCGTGTAAAAGCCCTGTATGCGAGGCTTCTATCATATGATGATTATTCGCAACACCCCCTAAACCCTACGCCGTACGCCCTCATCTTCTCCATCGCCGGAGAAGCACTTGAAAGTTCGCCGGTAGTGCATCCCAGGCTTTGGGTTGAAAGACTTCAAGTTGTGGGGTGTACGGGTTTCGGTTTCTAGAAGTTTAGGGCTTCAGGGGCGCTTAGGGTTTTGCGTCCGAAGGATTTCGGGTTGAAGATGGTTTCGGATTCGACTCTGCTAGCCGAGGCTTTTGAACTAGGTGATCTCTGATCTGCACACTGAAACCTACGACCTAACCCAACACGGAAAAAGTGCTGGTTGGCGAAGCCTAAACCTAAACGTACCAAACCCTTGCACCCTAAACCCCAAAGCCGTAGGTACTTTTTTTGTATGCAAGGACGGGGTTCAGAAGCTGGGATTTTAGAGTTCATAGTTTCGTAGGGGCTATAAAGTTTGTGCCTCCCACCTAGCTAGGACGAGATCAAGGTTTAGGGTTTTCGGGCATATTCTGGATAAGTTCTAAAAGGACTACAAGGAGAGCATGCTGTGATCTTGCCAAGACTTCAGGCCCTTGCATTCATGTCCTAAAGCAACAATACACCCGGCAATTGAAGACTAGAGAACTCTTGCAACGACAGGCCATAAAACCCAAAGCATACGGCCTACATCGAAACCGAACACTATACTATACCACAGCCCTCTCTTCTCAAATATCCGGGCCCCAAAAAAGTTCAAGCTTTCTAAAACAGACGATATTTGGGGCCAGAAAGTTTAAAGTTCTCCCATTGGTTACGTAAGAACCAGACACGAACACGAGACACACCTCGGGCGGGCGGGCACCTCCAGCTGCTGCGGGCGAGAAGCAGGGCCCACCTTGCCAGGATACCATGCAAAGCAAAGCCCTTCTCCCTAAGGATACTTCAGCCTTATCCCCCTTTAAATAGTGGGACTGTAGGACCGAATTATGTAAGAACCCTTGTAACTTGTAGGGCATCACATAAGATCCGAATATGAACGAAAACTCTGGCACCCTGAATTCCACGGTTCGACAACCCTATGCTGTGGTGGCAACATCCCTTCACATCGGGGGTCCGCAATATTGTCTTAACCCGAGGCTTCCTGGAACTAAGGTGTGCATGTACTTCTGACAAAAATGCCTGCTTAAGCTGGACATCCAGGAACTGGCTTTCACTGCATGAACTGTTCATTTTGACCGCGTATCTCTTGGCAAAATCGGCGTCTGTCAACATCATCGCAGACCCAAACACAGAAAGCTTATCGCATGCCTGGAGAACCTGGGTCCGGTGCACCCAGCGCTCCGGACTTCGGCTCAGCATGTACGGATTGTGGATCAGCAAATGCCGAACCTTCTCAGGCGAGAACCACTCCAAGAGCAAGCGCACCTTCGGCTGCAAGTTTCTCTCGAGGCTGCAGCCAAAAATAATGGGCCAACTAGAGATCACTCTGGCAACCTCGGCTTTCTTCAGGCCAAAATCTTGCAGCCACTGCACCGTGGGCTTCAAGTTTCCTTCGATGCTGTATCCCAACACTTGTGGAAATCGAGCAATCACTTTGGCAGCCTCGACTTTCTTCAGGCCCAAATCTCGCAGCCACTGCACCGTGGGCTTCAAGTTCTGCTCGATGCTGAGCCACAAAACTGATGCAGACCTGACGATCACTTTGGCAACCTCCACTTTCTTCAGGCCTAAATGTCGCAGCCACTGCACCGTGGGCTTCAAGTTCTCTTCGATGCTGAGCCACAAAACAGATGCAGACCTGACGATCACTTTGGCAACCTCAGCTTCCGTCAGCCCCACATCTCGCAGCCACTGGACCGTGGGCTTCAAGTTCCCTTCGATGCTAAGCCCCAACACCTGCGGATGTCGTGCAATCACTTTGGCAACCTCGGCTGTCGTCAGCCCCACATCTCGCAGCCACTGCACCGTGGGCTTCAAGTTTCCTTCGATGCTGTATCCCAACACTTGTGGAAATCGAGCAATCACTTTGGCAGCCTCGACTTTCTTCAGGCCCAAATCTCGCAGCCACTGCACCGTGGGCTTCAAGTTCTGCTCGATGCTGAGCCACAAAACTGATGCAGACCTGACGATCACTTTGGCAACCTCCACTTTCTTCAGGCCTAAATGTCGCAGCCACTGCACCGTGGGCTTCAAGTTCCCTTCGATGCTGTACCCCAACACTTGCGGACATCGAACAATCACTTTGGCAACCTCAGCTTCCGTCAGCCCCACATCTCGCAGCCACTGGACCGTGGGCTTCAAGTTCTGCTCGATGCTGAGCCCCAACACCTGCGGATGTCGTGCAATCACTTTGGCAACCTCGGCTGTCGTCAGCCCCATATCTCGCAGCCACTGCACCGTGGGCTTCAAGTTCCCTTCGATGCTGTATCCCAAAACTTGCGGAAATCGAGCAAGCACTTTCGCGACTTGAGCCCTCTTCAGGCCCCATGCTTCCAGCTGTTGCATGATGGGCTTGAGTTTGTCATTGATGTCGTAGCGTGCTAGACCGGGGCATTTTCCTACAAGTTCCTCTGATTCGGAATTGGACACACCGAGCTGCATCTGCAGAAATTCATGCAGACGTGTTGGGTCGAAGTCACGCTCACGCTCCGCAGCTACTTTCTGCGTAAACTCACCTGCTGCTTGGCGGGAGATGCCACGAGGATCCTCAACAAAGTTTTGCAGAATTGCTCTGCGATCAGGATGAACTGCTGTTCCCAATCGTTTCAACAAGAACTCAGCCACTTGAAGCAGTGCCTTCACCAATGATGGGCCATGGCCAGGCTGCCACGAGTCCACAACAACTTCCCCCATCTCGCTGGAAAGCTTCAGTCCACGATCGGCATGGGCTATGCGCAGCACGTAGGATCCGGCAGGTGCCATAGCCAGTAGGGCTCTGTTCTTGCGGCTGTCAGCTGCAATGCCCGTGGGCTTCTGGTGGCGGTAGTAGCCGTCATACTCCAGGAACAGAGCTGCTTCCTCTGACTGTAGAGCGCCATACAGCGCTAGGTCTGGACTCAAGGTGTTGCTGCCCCAACTCTTACTTCGCACTGCAGGAAAGTCCCGGAAGAGCTCTGCGATCGGCTCCTCCGGAAGCAGAAGCACCGCCAGGTGCGAAAGGAGCTCGGCCTCTGCAAGGCTTCCCGGCCTCCGCCGCGCACGCCCGGCCTTCCACCAGCCCGGAGGCCTTCCCACCACACATGAACCAGAGGAGAGCAAGGCCAGGAAGCCCCAGAGAAAACATCTCAAGGCTCTCGATGGCTTCCTGGCCTCGGGCGGCCTCATCCCGAGCTCGAGCCTCAAAGCGAACCTCCTACACGTGCTGAGACTCAAACATAAGTAAAAGCATCTCTGAAGGCTTCAACCAAAACAAAAACATCGCACCGACGCACACACGCACCTGACCACCCTCCACAGGCCTACGCCAATACAATGCATCTGTACTATGTCAGCTGCCTCTTGTTCCTAAACCCTTTCCAAGCTCTGTATCTGTATAATTATGAGACTTCTACCTTATGATGATTATTCGCACCCCCCAAACCCTAAGCCCTCGTCTTCTCTATAGCAGGAGAAGCACTTGAAGGTTCATAGGTAGTGCATCTCAGGGTTTGGGTTTAAGGCTTGAAGGGGTTTGAGAGCTTCAGGGTTTGTGGGTTTTCGGTTTCCAGAAGTTTACGGCTTCAGGGGCGTAGGGTTTTGCGACTGTTTTGCGTCTTAAAGATTTCGGATTCGACTCTGCTAGTTGAGGCCTTTTGAACTAGGTGCTCTTAAAACGGAAAAAAGTGCTGGTTGGCGAAGCCTAAACCCGAATGCGCTAAACCTTTGGACCCTAAACAAGGACCCTCAACAAGAAGCCTGAATGACTACTAGTATTACTCCCGATGCCAAGCGTGCTTACTATTTGAAGCATGTGTTAGCACCCTCAACCTCGAAAGCTAGTCTTCGCCACCTCTGCTGCTACCACCCTGAACCCAAGCATCCCAAAAACCCCTAAGCCCCAAAACCTGAAAGAAATCCCAGAGTACACCAAACCCCCGAAACTGTGAAACCCTGGGTTCAGGGTGTACTGTTTACATCTTTATGACCTTCCAAAAAAACCCTTAAACCCTGAACCCGACACCTCTGACTGAAGTCGCTGCCTCAGAGACCGCTTCGGGTGTCACCGTCGGCTGGTTGTTGCTCGGTTGATCGGCCTTCCCAGCCTGCCCAACGAATATTGCATGGGTGCCGTAATGTTGTAAAATGAAGCTCAGGGGTATGTTTTCACAGCGTTACGATAAGATTGTATAGGTGTCTCAAACTTTTAGAATGAGGCTTTGGAAGTGTGCTTTAATTGGTTTACACAGAACCTCAAGGACTAGAACTGGTAATTTTCCTGGCTTCCACGTTAGAATTAGAGTTGCGGTTGGTTTTGGAACTTGGAAGGAATGCCGCTACTAGCTATATCAATTGGGGCCACTACAATAGCTTGGGTCAATGGGTATTATACGGCAATTTACAAACGTTTATCGGGGTTCATAGCTTCAGGAGTCAAGGGTTTAGGGGCCCAGCACCGGGCTGTGCCTGAAGCCAGGATGCGGCGTTGGTTTAGGGTTTCGGCGCTCACACTCAGACAATCCAGGCGAGGCATTTGGTACGAGGTCCGATGAAGTGAAACTTCACTAGGGTTTGGGGTTTGAGGGTTTAGGATTCGGGTTTAGGGGTTTAGGGTTTAGGAAGTACGATTGAAAACCCGTAACATCCTAAATCCTACTCGACTTTAAAACATCCGCACCCTCGTCTGCTCTGTAAGAAGTAGACCCTGAATTTAAATCCTGGATGTACTGGCCTCAAAAACAGAATCGGGTGCTGGCTAGCTACATTATCGTATCAGCAGACATGGGCACCAAGGGCTCTAAGGCGATACGACTACTATGTAGTCAGAGACCCCTGTATTGAAGCCTTTAGTTCCTACTTAATCAGAACCCAGAGACTCCAAAACCCTTACATGGCTAATACTATAAAGGGGATCAATAAACTTGAAGTGTATTTCTTAATCTAATCCAGGGATTCTGGAGTCTCAGGAAACGCTATAACAAAGACCGATAATTCGCTTATAAGCCCCGCAACCTGAATAGTGGAGTCTACACATGAAACATCGAACCCAAAGCCTTCATAAGTCTCTTCAAGGAACCCTTACAAGAACCTTATCTACCTCCCTCTCTACCTATGTATCTATCTGTCTACTTAACATTCTACTACACATGTATATATACATATAGATGCAGTTCTGACTATCTGTCTGTCTATCTACCCATCTGTCTTCACATATACATACATCATACATATATATGTGTATATATGTATATATATATATATATGCTAAGATATACACACATATAAGTAGATAAATACATACAACTCCCAAGCCCGGGTCCCTGGCCTGTCTGACTGAAGATGGCGCGGATCCCCCAGCTCCGCATTCCAGCTCGAGACCTTGGTGGTCTCTTCCCTTGAAGGCGAGAAGGTTCAAGGCTATCTAGTTCGATGTCGGCTTTGAGTTTAGGGTTTAGGGTAGTGTAGAGAACTAGCATAGGGTTTCGGGCTATGTTGTATAACCACAAGAAGGAACCTAAAGAATACTACTACCACGGTGATGTATTCGAAATCTTACGTTACTTGTCCAGTATCCTAGTGGAACTACAAATCAACCTTTGGGAATGCGTAGGGTTTACATACTACCCCGAAAAAGTCAAAGCTTACAAGACTTACAAGCCTACTACTAAGCTACCCAGAGACTCCAAAGTCCATTACTTCAGCAAAATGCCTTGGAGTTACAAGGGGACAGCATCTTCGGGCCACAATGTGCAAACAGGCCAACATGCTATCACTAGTAGTGTTTGTGGCATGTTCGGAACATGAACCAACTTTCATATACCCTCCACCCCCCCGACACCAAACCGCCAGAGCGAGTTTAGGCTTGGGGCTTGGGTTTCTGAAGATGTAAATCGCGAAACCGTAAACCCCAAACCCCGACACAACCCTGAGCTTTAAAACCGAAGCCTCTCAACCTCTGAACCCTCCAACTGGCAAACCGCTGAAGTTGTAGGAAATCCCAAGTTCTACAACCGAAGCCCCTAAACCCTCAAAGTGCTGCAGTTGTAGGAACTTCCCTTCTCAGGTCCTGGCTGTCTAAGTAATCCTCCACATCCAGGACCTCTTCCTCGTCGTCCCACTCCATGCTCGAAAGCTAGAGTTTAGGGTTGAGGAGTGTAGGGTTGTGCTTGGTTTGGTGGTTTGGTTTAAGGTTTGAGGTTGAGGTCGAGATTGGGGTGCTAAAGCTTTAGATTCCAATTTTTGTTAAGTGGCTCTTCCCTGCAGTACTGTTCGTACGGGAGTGGCAGTCTGCAGTGTGTCTTACAAAAATCTTTCGGAAAGATGCAGTGGCAGCAGCACTACATGGGTCGGCTCTGTCGACGTGTGGTTGCCGCATGCACAGTGCTGGTGCGGATGCATGAGCCAAAGCTTGAAAGATAAGATGTCGCCACGGAGAATCTGCAATTTCTATCGCTCCGCTCCTGACCTTGAGCTTACCTCGTCTGGGTTTCGACGAATGGTGATTTCCCGATCCAGCAGGCATAGCGAATGAATAGGAAGCGCTGGTCTCCAAACCCCAAATCTTAAATCGTCAATCAAGGAAAGCTGACTTGAAGTCAAGTCGTCAACTAGATTCCTGAGTAGTTCCTACTATGTGGCTTTAATCAGGGGACTCTAAGAAGGGGCAGAAAGGTACTGCTCAGAAGGGTACTCTAGTCAGTGCTACAAACAAACCCAGGAAGACATGGCTCCTTACTGAAAGGCCCTCGTGGGGCGCATAGAACTCCAGGTACCGACGGTAGTTCATAGTACGAATTGCTTCGATCTACCAAGTGAATGATTAAAGCTTTTGCATCTTCTCTCGAACACTTTCACTTCGCTGAAGCAAAGATGCGCACAGCCCTTAACTCTAACCCCAAACCCCGTTCTTCTTCTTTCGAGTCTATGAGAAGACTTCGCAGAAATGCAACTCTAACCTTATTTCGCCAAACCAATATACAACCCAACACCCTCGAACTAAGTCAGATGCCCTAAACCGCCCGCATAAGCAAGCTTCTCACACTACCCCTCAATCTAGGGATATTGGGCTCCCGAAAAAAACGGTTCGAACTGTGGATGAAAACTCTTGAACCCCGTCAATGAGCTAGGAACTGCGTAACCCCTGAGTTTCCGAAGCAAGGGACCCCCACGTGGACCCCATGACGTGGCCTCAGGGCACACAGCATAGGGCTCTAGGGCTTAAGGTTCGGAAACGGAGCTTCACCCCCGATGAGGGGGTTCTGCTAATACTGCGCCGTATTGAGAGAAACTCCATGAACTACAATAGCATGCAGACTTGCTAGGATAGATCGCAGCCTGACTCGTTCCAGTGCCCTTTGCTGAAGCGCCGTGCGCTCCTCGGAGGCCTCTGGCGTTTAGAGCTTCCCGACAACCCTTCAAACGATACTAAACTAAACTAGGCAATGCTTTGCACTGTTCTTTTAGCACACGGCACCATACGACACTACGCTAGCATATACTGTAACGTATCTAAAGATGTCCGTATTACATGTTACACTCTCTACTACAAGACATACAAAACAGCGTGTACTCTATTCGGTACTGTAGACCACACTGTAAAGCTTACCGTCTACTGCACTGTTTACTTTATACCATACTTGATAGATTTCTGCATGCTACTCTACACTGTAGATTCCCTCATACGTTACACATACTTATACCTTCATAACATATCCTAAGCTGTGTACGAAGCTATATTCATACTGTATACTACACTGTATACTCTCCTAAGCACCCGGTTATGCGGTATACTGTGTGCTATACTCTTGATGCATGAAGACGATGATGATGATGATGATGCTGACGATGAAACAATTACGGCTGTGCTTTCTGGTGCTCACTGTATGTCCATATTCTAGGAGCCAGGTCGGCCATCCTGCAGATTACTATGGGTTCTTTCTGAAGACACATTGTCAGATGACTGGCATTACAACCCTAGGCCCTAAGCCCGTTAAGAAGTCGGCACAATCTCCAGAGTTGAAGCAGGTGTAGTCCTCAAAAAACAGAACAGCCCTGAAGCCCTGAAATGCCGGCATTCGAACCCACTGCTTCAGGGATATACCTGTAAGCGAAACAACCACTAAAAAGATCCCTCAGCCTCGTCCCTGCATCGCCTTAAATCGTAGCCCTACAGCCCGTAGACTTTACAGGGTTTAGGGTTTAGGACCCAGCACTAAGCCATTTAAACCAAGTCCGTTAGCCTTGTCCTTATATCGCTAAGCCGCTGAACCCACAGCCACGCCTTGGCCAGTCGGTTTCGGAGCTCAGGAACCTCGCGTTCCAAGAACCTGCGCAGGTTCCATCAGGGCAAGGGTCGAATATAGGGGCTTTGCAAGTTTGTGTGGTGCATTATGATACCGTCAAAATACGGAACCCTCAAGACTAATATCGGTAGCTACTCAGGCTTCTATATTTAAAGGTTCAGTGGTTTCAGGGTTTAGAGTGTAGGGCTTCAGGATTTACGGTAAGGGCTCGGGGTTCGGGGTTCAGAGTTCAGGGTTTGAGGCGAAAGGCTATTCCTACCCACCCAGCGGATAATGATAAGCAGTTTTGGGTTTAAGGGTCTAGCTTTATGGGTTTAGGCTCCGGGCGTAAAGCTTACAATTTCGGGTCGCGGTGTTTAGGATTTGCAGGGCTTTGGGAATTCTTGTAGCAACAGGTTCAGTCAGGGTTTACTACACGGAGTTGTGAGATCTAGATTGCTCCTGTTCCAACATCCGAAAGCGCTCACGGAGAGCCCAAGCCCGAAACCCCTTCTAGGGTTCTGGTGTGACTTCCCGGCTGAGAGCACTCAGCCGTGCAGAACAGCCGAATCTCCTCCCTGATGGCCCCTATAAGTATTTCTCTTTCCAACATGCACAGAAAGCCCATGCTGTTTGTTCAGGCGCCGATTCTAGGGGCTGTACATCCCCAACAGTGCTGATGGCTGCGTTCTTGGCCATTACATTATACCATGGCGCCGGGGGGAATTTCTTGCAAGCAGAAGCCGTTTCCCGAAACCCTAAGCCACTTTATCTTCTTGTTTCTGACCTCTGCCCTCTGTCTTCTATTCTCTATCCTATGTTTTCTTTGATTTTCTAGACTCTGGATTCTCTTCTCTGCCTTCTGCTTTCTGATTTCAAGTTTCTTCTCTTTCTTTTCTGTCCTGTACCTTCTCCTTTCTGGTCATTTCTCTTTGAGCAAAACTTTTTGGTGTTTTAATTTCTCATCTCTGGTCCGGCCCTCTATCCTCGCTTTCGGAACCTTAATCGCTCTTTTCTTCAGAAGCCTTTCATTCCTCAACCTCCCGGCTGATCTGATGAGCCCTTTTGACTCCAAACTGTCACTGTCACAAAGAAGATTGAAAAGTTTCGAGACGGAACCCCTCACCCTGTAGACAAAGGGAAAGATGTGAGTTCGAAACTCGAAATCTGAATCCCACTAAGTTTTGGGCTTTTAGAGTGTTTGCTTGACCAATGCTGGAAGCAAAAATCTTCAACAATCATTCTTGAACTGCTGAACTTTAGTCTCAAACTTCTCAACAATCCTGTCAACTGAAACTCAACTGTCTGGCAGTAGATTCCTCCATCCAAATACCCATGAAGCACCAGAAGCCCTGCCGATCCCTCCCACCCGTGCAGCAACTCTTCCGCGCTCTGTCGCAAACCTCCTCTGCGGATGCAAGATCGAGTTTCTCGCCACCTGCCTCGCCCAAACCCTGAACAGCTGCCTCATGTTCGTGACGGAGGTTTTGGCTTCAGGGCTTCAAAGCTTGGGCTGATAATGGGTGTTTCCGAACATCCCAGTACTCGGCTTAGAAATTACTTAAAGGCCCAAAGAATTTAGCAAGGTTAAGAATTAGAATATCCCCGACCAGGGGACGTATAACCCCAATTCTACCACTACTTTTACTAAGTCCCCTGAGCAATTCAGTTGGGGTGCCCGGATCAATTGTGTCCTTCCCGGAACCAGCAGCAACCCAGAAACCAAACACGGAGGGCTTTCCTTAGAATCACCCCGCAAGCCACGAAGTCTCTAATACACAAGCCCGTAAAACTCCACCAACACTTTCTTGGATGCTATACTATCAGTACATGAAGACCAAGAGAAATCGAGCAGGGTTTGAAAGGGCTTTGAAGCATTGGTTAGTCGGACACCCTTCTCCGTGATTCTCCTGCTTTGTGCAAGCCCTGATACCCTTGCCGCGCCCACTAGCCCTGCAACGTCCTTCTCGCTCGACAGCATCACCTGAGTGCATCATCTCAACAAACCGTCTGCCGCTGTGACATGGGGTGCAAGAATGGCTAGGGCTAGGGCTGGGGGAGAAGTCCGGACTGTCTTCTGCGACACTGCCAAGGTCCAACATAGGCTCATGGGTTCCGCACCGCCTTATGCTTTGCTTCTTTTGGGCATGGGGTAAGCTGCGTACCGGTCTCGGAAGAAGTGAAGAAATCGTTCAAGACGATATGTTTAGACGATTGCACACCTCTATGCAAAAGCAGCATGCAGAGCCTTGGCACGATGTTGCGAGGAATCGAGCCATAGGAGCAAACCATCGATCAAGGAACGACCTATGGTCGAAGACACTAAACCCTGAACCCTTGCCGCCCTTGCCCTCAACCTTAAACCTCGAAAGCTCGCGCTTCACTCGCGAACGAGTTCTTCAGACTACACCCGCATGGGAGCAGCCTTGATTTTCAAATTAAGAGGCAGTGATCAAGAAGCTGCCTCTGAACAGGGTTCCGATACAAGAACTGCAGGGCCAAAGCTTGTACCACATGGGCACATGGATCCTCACAGGAAGTGCGTACATAAAGCACTACAGCACAAACATCTTAGGATGATTCTTCGTCAGCCCTAAACTCGAAGAACCTGAGAAGCCCTAACTCGTCCCTTCTTGAGGAGGGGCGGCAGTGCCCTTTCTTTGAGTCACGGGCTGGGGCCGGACGTCTGAAGAAGCATCATGTTGACGCAGGAGCTGCCGCCCTAAACCGCTAAACCCTATGACTTTCTACGCCCCAGAGACTCCAATCTCTTCGTGATGAAGCAAAGTATCCTAAATAAAAGGCTTGAAAAAGGGCAGGCACCCTGGAGAGGGTTCTGTAA